ACTCTGCTAGAAGGATCCCTAGTAGCGCAGTGGGTTACAAATTAGAATGCTAATTGTAAAATGAGTAGTTCAAATTCAAATCTACCAGCTGCTCCATGGGAGATAGATCAGGATTTCTGCTCCCATCATGATTTACAGCCTTGGAAACCCTATATAAGTTTGCTATGAGTTTTAACTGACTCCATGGCTCACTAACCATGCCCCATCTGCTACAGTCTAAGATATACATTGGAAGGGTGTTGTACTTTTTGTCACTGACATGAAAACTACCTAAATTAGTATTTGGGATACAGTAGATACTCAGATGTGTTTTCTGAAGTGATAAATATACACATATACACAACTTGTAGTTCTTGAGTTTTATTGGCAAACATAATTCAATGACTTGACTTCATATAGCTGTTAAGTGCCATCGAGATGGTTCTAACTCATAGTAACCTTCCCGACAACAGAATGAAATGCCGCCCAATCTTGTACCATATTCACAATTATTCCTGTTGAAGCCTACTGTTTCCAACATTCTGTCAATTCATCTCCTGAACTCTACCAAGCCTGATGCCTTTCTCCATGGACAAGTCCTTCCTGATGACATGTCCAGAGTTCATGAAACAGTTTTCACCATCCTTACTTATAAGGAGCATTCTGGTTATATTTTATTTTCATCACCAACACACATCAAATCTTTGCTCTTCCTCCTTGTGCAGTTTCCATGTGCATTGAGGTGATGGAAAATAACATGGTTTGGGTCAGATGTACCTTAGTCTTCAAAGTGACATTTTTGCCTTTTAACACTTTAAAGAGATCTTTCGCAGCAGATTTGCCCAATGTCATTTGGTTTAATTGCTACGTTCTTGTTTATTGGGTATTGGTTATGATCTAAGTAAAATTAAATCCTTGGCTATTTCAAATTTTTCTCAGTTGATCATATTTGAATTGGTTCAGTTATAATGATTTGCTTTCTTTATGGTAAAGTATAGTCTATATCGAAGCCGTGGTCTTTGATGTTCATCCGTAAATGATGTTCATCAGTAAATGCTTCAAGTTTTCATTTTCAGCCAGCAAGGTTGTGTTATCTGCATATCCTAGGTTGTTATGAACCTTCCTCCAATCTTGATGTGTGTATATAATCCTCCTCAGATTATACAACTACCGAGCAAACTATAACTTTATAGTATGGCACTATAGGATAAACACTAGACCACAAGGTTGATTTGAACTACAAGGTGGTGGTTCAAACCCACCAGCTACTCTTGGAAACACTATACAAGGTCACTATAAATTGGAAACTGATTCAATGGCATTCAATAGCAGTATTCTATAAGATAAGGAACAAAAATTGTAAGTGAAACGAAGACGCAAGTAGTAGAAGATGTTGGCAATAGTCTTTAAGATGTGACTTGGGGTAAAGTGGCTAATGTTCTCTTTTGTGTGTGCCTCCTAGCTGTGAATTTAACTTGGATAACTACCAAACCACCTTCCATCAGGCTGACTCCTCTGTGACCCATCCCCATCACTATCAGAGGTTTGAAGTGAAGACATTTACCTTTGTCTCGGGAACCCAAGCACTCTCTAGCTTGGTGAGTGACTGACAAATTACCTGGGAGGAGTTGAATGTGAGGGGAGTGTATTGCATTTCCCCTAACCGTCTTCTCCCATCTGCAGATCTACTTCCACTGCAGTGCCTTAATCTGTGACAGACTCTCCCCGGATTCCCCTCTGTGTTCTGTGACTTGTCCTGAATCATCTAGGAGAAGGCGAGGTAATGTCAGTTCCCTGTTCACTATGAATCTCACTGACTTCACAGCTAACTTCATTCAGATTTGAAGAGTTGAAGGCTGTGTAGTCTTCACCTGAAGTCCTGATGTGGCGCTGTAGGGATAAGCACTAGATTACTAACTGCAAAGTCGGTGGTTTAAACCACCAGCTGCTCCTTGAAAACACCATAGAGAGTCACTGAGTTGGAACTTACTCAATGGCTCTTAACAATTCTTCAACTAGAGGAGTCCCTGGGTAACACTTCCTCAACATCAGAGGCAGCTCAGAAGAAAGTCCTGGAGATGTTTCCAAAAAAGTCAGCCTTAAACTCTAAGGGAGCACAATTCTGCTCTGCAACAGGGTATTGCTGTGAGTCAGAATTCATTGAATTGCAAATGTGACTTTGCTATATACTCACCTAATCCCAAGAGTTTTAACAGACCACATGTGGATAAGGCAGACTGAGCTTTAACAGTCCAAAATGGGCAGATTCTTGACCAGTCCTAAGGGCAAACTTTGCTTTCTACCCATAGGCTGTAGACTGATCTGATCTTTCATGGACTTGGCTCTAAGAAGCTACTATTGAGTCTAGATGTACTTGGACCTTAACCTTGTTCGGCTATCTTTAATCTCATTCTTCAGTAAGGTACATGGCCTCTCAGTAGGCCATAGGAACAGCTGCATTTAATACTCCATGACACGCACCTTCTACAGGTCAGATACTAACTGACTTACCTGTGTCTCTAGCCATAGGAGCCACAGAAAGCAAAGAAGCAGAGAGAACAGTGAGCCTCCCAGGACCCATCCTCTTGTTGTCAGATGGCTCTTCACTGAGAGGTATGGACTTTAAGCCTGGGTATACTTAAAACTCAAACTTTTGGCATAAGAACTTAACACACACAAATGATATATGCTCATGGTGAATTTAAGAAGATTAAAAAGAAAGTCTCTTTATACAGAAGTAGCTTCTGTAAACCTCTTTATACTAAAGGATTTCTAGAAAGGTACCTAAGTAGGATCATACTCTACCTATACTGCTCTGTAATTACCTGCACGAAAAGACCTACCTCCCTGTTAACAGGTAGGTTAGGATTCCAAGTGGGTCACCTTAACCATAATTCCATAATGGAATCTTCTACAATCCTTGTTTTACTATACAAAAAAATCTAGGATGCATTTCTAAAAGTAGAACAGGTCAAAAGGCATATATATATATGCATTGCATATTTTGCTATTAACAAGTTTATATCAACTCGATAGATTATAGTCTCATAATTACCTTACATTTTTATCCAAGAGAGTTTTTAACTTCAGATTCTAGGCTTAAAGTGAAGCAGTCTTGAATTCTATAGTAATCGGAGAGCCCTTAACACTGAAAGGACAATTGACCACGTAGCTGTTAGTTCCAGGCTGTTAAGCAAGGATGGGTTTTAAGATATCGCCCCATCTGATTGATGAAAAGTACGCACACCCGTGGGAATAAGCAGGCAGAAGCTTCAGGGTGAGATTATACCATAGGTGAAGCCTCAAGTTCTTTGAGGCCAGATTTTATTCCTTTTTCTAGAAAGCCTGTCTATATGTAAGATTTCAACATGAATTTATGCTAATAATTTTAAGACCCCAATATCTGTTTCTTCTCTAGATCTTGGGGACTCTAAGGGACACAGGACCACTGAAGACATCACTTTTAAAACAATGGTTGCTGTGGCAGCCTTTGCAGGTGTCATGGCAACGATAGGCATCGTGAGTCACCTACGCAAGAAAAGAACCACAAATCTCTAAGTGAATTTTCAAATAAACGAGTTGAAATAAGCCTCTTGTGTTTTCACATTAGGATTATATGGAGTTTAAGGGTTATCCTCCCCCCACCCCATTGTTTTACTGTGGTAGCCCTCTCAGCAGCTTTGACCTATAAGGTAGCCAACAACTTAATTGCTTCCTGTCATTGCCTGTCCAAAATGATTAACTTAAAGATCAATGGTTCAAACCCACCCAAGAAAGATCTGGCAATAGTCTTTCTTAAAGATTGTAGTAAAAGAACACCCTATGGAGCAGATAGTTTTACTCTAATGCATGGGTCACTGAGTTAGGAAGACCAAAATATTAGCTAATTCTTTTTTTTTTTCCCTTAAACCCCTACTTTTGAAGCCTGTGGTACTGCCAATGAATAAAGGAGGAAGAAGGGTAACCACAGCCCATATCTGGATGTGCATTTAGGTGATTCTAGCCTCTTCTATAAGGAGCTTTGGTAGCGTAGTGGTTATGAATCAGGCTGCTAACCTCAGGGTTATCTGTTCTGCAGGAGAAAGATGAGGCTTTCTGCTCCTGGAAAGATTTACAGCCTTGGAAAGCCTGTACAGGGTGTCTCTATGAGTTGGAACTGACTCCACGGCACATAACCATCACCAATAGCCTCTTCTATAAGGGTCCTGGTGGCACAGTAGTTAAGCACTTGGTTGCAAATCAAAAGGTCCGTTCCAACTCACCAGCTTCTCTGGGGAGAAAGACACTGGGTGTTTCTGCTCTGTCCAAACGGTCTCCAGGAGTTGGTTCCCACTCGTGGGGGGTTTTCTTTGTGTGTTGGTAGTGGGCTGTCATGTTACCCCCCCCCCCAAAGACGATCATGTTCTAGACATAGACGATCATGTTCTAGACATAGACGATCATGTTCTAGACATAGACGATCATGTTCTAGACATAGACGATCAATATATTGCTTTACATAGCTCATTGCTTTTGAGTCCACTACAACTCATAACGACTGTATCCCCTGCTGCCATCAAGTTGATTGTTAACACCTAGTAACCCTGCATAGAATTTCTGAGGCTGTACATCTCTTAAAAGACAAACCTCACATTTCTCCTGTAGAGTGGCTGGTGGCTTTGTGCAACAGGCCTTGTAGTTTGTAGACCTGACTTCATGAATTTCTTTTCGATCAGTACAAGGCTGGTACTATGAAGCGGAGGGTTAAAGATAATCCCAACTGCCTGATTTTTCCAACATGCTATATTGAGTGCCATTGAGTTGGTTCTGACTCATAGGGACCCTGATGGAATTTCCAAGGAGCAGCTGGTGAGCTTGAACCACCAAACTTGTGGTTAAACTGACTTTGCAGTGCAGTGCATTAACCCACAGCGCCGCACCGGGACCACCATGCTCTAACACTCCATAACCCTTGACATCACTCACCACTCTTCAAGTCCAGAGTTCAGCAACATCTCACAGAATTCCCAACTATCCAAAGAAATGGTTCACGCAACTGTGGAGCCTGGTAAGGCCCGAGTCATTAGTTAGTTCAGAGATCCGTCAAGAAGTTTCCCCACCCACGTGCTCTAAGGAGCTGAGGAACTCAAATCAGCAGGTCAGATGCCAAGCTTCTGGAACTGGCGAATTGAGTCAGGTGATCGGGAGTCGCAGGAACTGGAGATTAGATGTAATGAGCCACGTGAAAGATTGAGGGCAAGAGTGAGCTTTTCCAAAGCAGACCCATAAATTGGAGTTGGACCACGCCCCCAAGAGAAACTAAGGTTACTGAGTCACTTCATGTAGTAAAGTGTTATGTGCCGTGGAGTCGGTTCTGACTCATAGCGACCCTGTACAGGGTTTCCGAGGTTGTATATCTTTACCGGAGCAGAACGCCTCATCTTTCTCCCACGGAACAGCTGGTAGTTTCGAACTGCTGACCTTAAGGTTCGAAGCCCAATTCATAACCACTGTGCTACCAGAGCTTCTTTGTTGTTGTCAGGTGCCATCGAGTCAGAACCAACTCACAGCGACCCTATGCATAGCAGAATGAAACAATGTTCGATCCTGGGCCAACATCATTACTGTTGCCACACTTGAGTCCATCAATGCTGCCACCTGGCCAATCCATCTCGTTTGGGGGTCTTCCTCTTTTTCTCTGACCCTCCATCTTAACAAGCATGATATCCTTCTCTAGCAACTGTTCCCTCCTGACAGTAGCTCCTTTAGCTAAAGGTAAATGCTCCCTTCCCTCCCACTCATGTTTCATTTAGCATAAAAACCTTCTGACTATAACAGTGGTCTGATACAATTTGTCCTTTTGTGATTGACTAATTTCACTCAGCATAATGTCCTCCAGGTTCATCCATGTTGTGAGGTGTTTCATAGGTTCACAGGCTCATTGTTACTCTTCAGTGTTGTGTTCCATTCCATTGTGTGTATGTACCGAAGTTTGTTTAACCATTCTTCTGTTGATAGGCGTTTAGGCTGTCTCCATCTTTTGTGACTGGTTCTGCAGTCAACGTTAAGAGCAGTCATGTCAGTTCCATCCTATCGCATTCCAGGGTTTCTGAGGAGCAGATTGGTAGGTTTGAACTGCCAACTTTGTGGTTCATAGTCCAATGCTGATCCTACAGTGCCACATCAGGAGTCCACAATGAACGTGGGAGTGCATATCTAATCATGCTACAGCTTATTTCTTGAGGATTTATACCCAGTTGAGAGATTGCTGGGTCATATGGTATTTATATTTTCAAATTTTTGAGGAAGCACCATACCATTGTCCACAGTAGCAGTACCATTTTATAGTCCCACCAGCAGTATAGAAGGGTCTCAAACTCTCCACACCCTCTCCAGCATTTGTTGCTTTGTTGTCGGTTTTTAACTTTACAATTTTGCTACTAAAGCTGGGTTAAAATGATAATCTCATTGTTGTTTTGGACTCTTGGTATAGTGCTGTGGGTTAATGCGTTAGACTGCAAAGTCGGTTTGAATTGTAAGGTTGGTGGTTCAAGGTCACCAGCTGCTCCTCAAAAACCCTATACAGAGGATGA